TTCAAGTTCCTGTTAACCTCCCTATTGAGGTATCTTGTGGGAACTGGCAGGGACTATCAGAAATTTTCCATCTTTTCTGCCTTGTTCCTTCCTTTCTACTTTCTTCCCTTCTACCCTCCCTCTTCTTTACTTCCTGTTCCTTTTTTTCTCCCTCCTTCTTCCTCCTTTCCTCCCTCTTTCCTTTCTTTCCTTCTCTCTCCCTTCCTTCTTTCCTTCCTCCCTCCCTCCCTTTAATTGGGTTCACTTTGCTGGAGGCTCCTTGTTTCGCCATCTTTACTCAATTCCCCCCCCCCCAAAACCCCTTTTCTTTCCATTAAAAGCATTCTTCATTTTCTTTGCCACTTTTAATCTGAACTGTTCCTAATGAACTTTGATTACATTCTTTGCAACTACCTTTATATTTGTACACATAATAATACACTCTACATTTATTGTTTTTGCTATGATGATTCTGTTGTATGCATTTTTCCCATCCACAGCCTCTTTCATTTCATCTTTTCAGGAAGCCTTTAAATTTCCTTGTGAAATGTCACATTTGTCTGTGGCACTTCGTAACATGATTCTCTTTGGTCTGTTTCTAGCAATTTCCATATCCTTTCTTTGTATTCCATGCATTCATTTATTCTGTTGAGTGATTAATGTTTTCTTATAATATTACAAAAAACTTATTCTTTCTCATTCTACTTGCACTCTAATTTCTTTCACTTCCTTATTTTTCCTTCACATCCATTTTTCCCTAGATCAACTCATGATATTACCAAAATAAGTCTGTTCCACATTCAGAAGTTTTACTACTATTGTATCTTCACTTGTTCTCAGATTTTCAGCATAGACAATCAAATCAACCAAACTTTTAGCATGAATAATCTTTTGCTTAAATCATGTATTTGGAACATTTTTCTAAGCAGATGCCAAACAAACACTATTCTCATTCATTCTCAAAAAGACCCAATTATTTTTCCTCTATTGTCTCACCTCATTCCCATCTGTTGTTCATATCATGTAACAGTAAGTATTATTCCCCTGAATTCCATCCATTTAGAATATTGTACAATTTCCCCTCAAAACTATTCCAGCTTCTTCTATTATCATAGTCACTGAACTGTAACTTGCAATTATAACCAAACTATGACTTCATACTTTCATATGCACTTAGAACAATTGTATTATATCCTTCTCTGCATTTTTCAAACACCAAGTGTATCCTTTTTTTTCTTTCATTAGTAAATTAATATTGTTTGCCGTATATTCTTATTTTATGTAAGTCAGAAACTACCATGTGCCATAGTTATCACCATAGGGGCTACTTAGAATTGACTTTCACCTCCCATAAATGGTTTTGATCAATCAGAGGTTTCAAATAGTTGTTTTTTTTAGCAAGATGAATAGACTGGGTTACAATAGAGCTTCAGTCGCGTTACATGCAGCATCCCCTGTTGATAATAAGAACAATTTTGTCAAATTTGGACCATATGGCACAGAAGCATCCAAAGCTAGTTTATCTCAATGTGTGCCCATTATATTGTACACAAATTAGGATCTCTAAAGTACATAGCAATCCAATAAGCCATTGCTGCATCCAGCCAATTAGGAAGCATATACAGTGTATCTATACACACATACAGAAAAATAAATGGGACAACAAGAATCAGGAATAGATTTGTGTGTGAATTGATTTTTGGATTACATATGCTTGGACTGCATTAGTGTCTAGCAGCTCCTTCATTTTAACAGTTGGCCTCACATATAAGATACTATTTTGCATCTAGCTACCACTGTGTATCCTAGGATAGTTTTTTTAAAATAGTGGAGACCTCAAATTGTCTGTGTTGCCCCAGCTGAGCATTTCAGCTTCAGTGCTCAAATCAGGAAAATGCTAACAATATACAAAAAGTTTTTGACTTGCAACAGTTCATTTAATGACCATTCAAAGATACAATGGCACTGAAACAAGTGACTTATGACCATATAAGGAGCCTCTGTGGTGCAGTGGTTAGAGTGCAGTACTGCAAGCTACTTCTGCTGCAGTCAGCTGCCTACAATTTGGCAGTTCAAATCCCACCAGGCTCAAGGTTGACTCAGCCTTCCATCCTTCCAAGGTGGGTAAAATGAGCATTATATAAAGCACTATAAAGCGGTATATAAGTCTAAGTGCTATTGCTATTTGTCACACTTATGACCATTGCAACATCCCCATGGTCACATAATCAAAATTCATATGCTTGGCAACCGACTCATATTTACGATGATTGCAGTGTCCCATGGTCATGTGATCACTTTGACAAACAAAGTCAACAGGGAACCAGATTCACTTATTAACCGGGTTACTAACTTAACAACTGCAATGATTCATTTAACAACTGTGGCAAGAAATGTTGTAAAATGGAGCAAAACTCACTTAACAACTGTCTTACTCAGCAACAGAAATTTTGGGCTCAAATGTGGTCATAAGTTGAGAACTACCTATAGTGATTTTCCATCTAAGTTCAGTGTGTAAATTATGTATCAGCCATACAATGGCCTAGTGCATAAAGCCAGCTTCTTCAATCTGTTGCCCTCCAAATCTGTTAGCTTCCAACTCCCATAATCCCCAGGCAGCATAGTTCTCAGCAATGCTGACTAGAGATTGTAGGCGCTGAAATTAGGCACACTGAAGAGCAGCAACAGGTGGGGTAAGGCAGCCTAGAGGGAAGAGGCTTTGGAAAAGTATCTTAGTCTTTGAAAAGAACTACAAGCTTGTAATATCCAGTATTTTCTATGGACAGATAAACTATATCCGAGATTATCCAGAAGGCACAGGCTGTAAAAAAACCAATCAGTTATGGAATTCTGGAATTTGAGAATATTGTCTAATATCATGTTAGTCTACATGAACAATAGTTCAAACTACAAGTTGGAACATATAATCCACTTGTATTTTATGTGTAGCAGGAAAGTGGAAGAAGAAGAGAGAACTAGGAAAAAGGCAAAAAAGGAATGTTGAAAAGCATTTTAGCCAACCAGAAAGTAAATACTAAATATTTTATGGGCACATTTTTTTCTCTAAATTCTTAAACAGGTTTGGAATCTTTTCTTGCTGATTCATTCCCTTTCACAATCTCCTGTGTTTATCATTCTAAATTTATTCTTATTCCTTTTCTTGTCTGCATGCACAATTAAAATGGTTCTTTATATGAAGTGGATTACACATTTCATACTATAAATACATGGAGGAACTGTTAAGTTTTTAAGTGCTAAAAAATCCATGACAATAAATTTCTTCTTATCAATTTCAGAGGCAGCAGTGGTGACATTAATGATAGTGAGGTTTTCACATACTCATTTTTTTCATTTTTATGAGTGCAAATATATGCGCAAAATGGGAATCTTGGGTCAAGTTTGCTCTATGTATCAAGATATAGCCTGTGTACTTTTAAAGCACCTGATATCTTCGTAACAGTTGAAAGAATAAGTGGAAAATGTAGGAAGTTTAGAATCACTCGGTAATAATGAGGTTCCTTCTCACTGCCAAATTTGGATTCTCACTACTGACCTTGCAGACAGCTAAACTGACTTAATATTTGCTACCTCACCTGGCAAACCTATGCTGTCCCAGCCAGGATGTGAGAAATGGGGATTGTTTTATTTATGCCATACAAGGGACACTATAGGGAAATATTGGAGGATTCCCCCACAAGTACTTGGCTTAAAATTTACTGCATAAAATTTACCTCAAGGAAATGGGCTGGGAGTTGAGCAGGAGACAAATGTTGACAGATGGCTAAGATGGCATGTTTAGCCATCCCTCAGCCCTCACTCTAGTTTTGCTGCTCCAGTATTTTGCATGGGTGTGTTCAAAGGGTACCCAACTATCAGCTGATCTCATTGGCTTAGCACTCCTTCTAAAAATGAGATTAAAATTCTTTTAGAAGACGCAAGTTAGTACTTTTCCAGTAGGACATTAACATCAGGTAATGATCAAACTCCTTTCAGAAATGAGGTCATTCTTATTCCAGGAGTGTACATTAAATCAATGTTCAAAAGCAATATCTGACAGACACCAAGAAAGTTATGCTACAAACCAGCAGAGTTAAGGCCATTTATTTCTCTCTCTTCTCCTCCCAAAGTTCACCATGCGTATCCCTCCTACCGGTCACCTGTTAAGTCTTCAAAGGAGGTATTACCTTGGAGGCTGGCTGATATATGAGGAGGACCTGGCTTGAAAGAACCACCTCTCTGGAATTAAAGCAGGAGGGAGGGGCCCACATCAGGCCACAGTGGCCAATGAGAGCAAGGATCACCTGACTGTACTAGGAGTATACTGAATTATATTCACCGGGCAACTGATTTTTGTGTCAAGGGGAAAACTCTGCTTTAACACTGATACTACCACACTTAAGGTAGCCCCTATTTTACTCTTGGGTCAAAAAAAAATCAACATCATGAAGACATAATGGAGAAAAAAAAGAGGTTGCCAGGGCATGTCTAGTCTAACGGACTTCATGAATAATATCTGCCTATGCCTGGTCAAATGAAGAGAAGGACTAGGGGTGACCTGCAAGTAATGTTCCAATATTTGAGGGGCTGCCACAGAAAGGAGGGTGGGCAAGCTATTCTCCAAAGCACCTGGGGGGAAGACAAGAAGCAATGGATGGAAGCTTATCAAAGGGAGACCTAACCTGCTAGAAACCTCTAAGGAGAAGTTTCCTTAGAGTGAGAACAATTAATCAGCCTTCAGAAATTGTGGGTGCTCCACCACTGGAGGTTTTTAAGAAGAGATGAGAAGGCCCTTGTCTGGAATGGTCTCCTGCTTGGGCAAGGGGTTGGACTAGAAGACCTCCAAGGCCCTTTCCAATTTCGTTATACCGTTACATATTAGTGCTGCAGTCAGATACAAAGGAGGAAAGACCCATGAAACTGCCTAAAGATTTGGAAGTGTTGGTGTAGATAACATCTAACGTTCATCCCTTTTTTTTCTTTTTTTTATTCCTGGTTTTAGTGAAGAATATGAGACTCGTTTACAACTGTGGAAAAACTGTTGCCTCTAGCTATGGAAACTAGTTTCCGGTAAGTCCGTGGTATTATTTTAGAATGTAGGATAGCAATGCGAGCTGGACCATGGCATCTATGGGACTCCTTTTGAAAAGGCTAATCTAACAGCTGTAGGATCAGAAAGAGGTTGGATTAAACACATAGCACCAGTAACTTCAGGTGCTATAAAAAGGCTATTCTGTTGGCATTAGGAATGGGTGAAGGAGCGGCTCCACTAAGAATTAAGAGGCTTAGGAACCAGTGCTTGAATAGGTTGCAGTTTCACAAAGTAAGGCTCCTCCCTTTCCTCTTTCACCCTGCAATGTATTAAGCACAGATTTCCCATTGCACTTAGAGAGGAGGAGATTCTGGTTTAGTATTGGTAATCCAGGATCTAAGGATTTTTTTCACCAAAGTGGTGGTCCATTAAGAAGGGAAGAACACCTAGCCATGCTTCTTAAATCATATTCAGCAATCACAGGTAACTGAATGCAGCCACTAGACTTCTTTGCGGGGTGGGGGAGGAGGGCAGTAACCACTGAATGACATGAAATTCTAAGGAAGACTGAAAGAAGGATCTCTATAAAGAGATGAAAGGATAATTGAATCGGAGCCGGGAGGTAGCAAAATCTCTCCACTGTTAACTGTGCAACTCCTTCCAGGCATGGCTTTAATTGAAGAAGGTAAAATGATACTTAATTCTGGTTGAGAAATATGCTGCTGCTCCACCTTCATGGTGAGCCTAAGGCATATGCATGTCTGAGGCAATAAACTCAAACAGAGACATTCTCTGCTTTTGTAGTTGTTAACATGCGGCCCCTTCTAGTTATCTCATGAAGCAATCAGAAGCTGAACAAAACCACTAGCTGAAACACAGCCATCTTGCAGCACAGAAAGAGGAGTGGCCCAATGAATAAGGGACATCTCTCTTTCTTCTCAACAGCCATAGGAGGTTTCCCCTGGTCTCCTGCTTCCACTTGCTGCACTTCTGGCTCCTCTTCCTCCTAGCCTCAGCAGTTCCATTGCACAGCGTCTGGTCTCTTCGGACCCGTGGTCTTCTGGCAGCTCGGCCACTGTGTAGCCACCGGAGCCCCACAGCATCCAGATCTTTCTGTATCTGGGATAAGAATCTGCCCACGGAGAAAACAGGATTTCACTCTACCTCACTGCGGCTGCGCTCTATGGTTTCCAAAGGGGCTGGCCAACGCCATGCCATACGGCTGAGGCGTCAAGCCCAAGGGATCCGGCCTGCTACCCCATCCGGCTTTGAGGATGGTCCCTCCTCATCTCAGTACCCCTGGGCCATTGTTTGGGGTCCCACAGTCTCAGTTGATGAGGGAGGGGATGCCAGCTCTGCCAACCCAGGCTTCCCACTTCTGGATTACGCCTTTGTTTCATCCAATGGAATGGCAACAGCACAACCCAATTCCCACTCACTGTTACACAATGAAGGGCTCAACCTGCGTCAGACCCCAGCCACTCTACCACCCTTCCTCTTTGGACCTCGTGGAGAAGGTAACCATCAGTTGCTTTCCCTTACTCCTATAGAAACTGCTTTAATGATTCTGTGTAACTAACAGCTTGAGTAACAAGCCAAAATTAGGCAGGGGCTATTTTTGTCATTGCAAGAACTGCCTTCTGTGGCTGCTAGGTTTCTGCCTCCCTGTTTACAGACGTACATAAATCAATCTAGGAAATAGTTGGCCTTCCTAAAAGGAGCTTAAAATTTAGTGCTTCTCCTCATAAAATTAGTCCCACTTCTTTTATTTTCTGACTCTGCAACCTTTGTCTGTTCCAGGTGTGGACCCTCAACTTTATGTCACCATTACAATTTCTGTCATTATCATCCTTGTTGCTATGGGAATAATACTCAAGTTTTGGTAAGTAGAGTCTACACAGGTGTAAAGAGTTGTTCCAGGCCTTTGCTGAAATCAAAAGTAGTATTGTGAGATGTGACAATGGTCCTGGGAATGGGCTATAATTACCTATAATGAATTCCAATGCCTTGGAGGTCATTTTTTCAATTATCCATTCATTTGCCTTTAGAAGTGTATTTTGTTGTCCTAATTATCTCATAAGCAGCCAGGCTGTATGATTAAAGTTAGTGCTGTCCAGCAGGAAGCATTTTGTATATTATGAAGCCCATAATATGCCTAAGGCTGCAAATGGCAGGTCACTGCCCTGTCAAACTAAAGGAATTGTTAGTAGTTACTCTAATGCCTCACCCTTTATTACGGTGAGTGGCGTTCAGGATGGAGAAGATTTAAAGGTCAAACTCAGCAATTTTAAAGCAATGGATGCTTTCCATTTTCTCATTTCAGTTTTGTACAAATAAGCTGATTCTGCTGAATATTTAGATCGGGTCTATACGCAGTATGGTTTCAAAGTATAGAATAAAACCCCATTCGAAATATTTTTGCTCCGTAGATTATTAGAAGTACCATATATAATAAATGATAAAATGACTTTATTATTATATGCTGTTTTGTAGCGAATGATTAGCTTCTTTCCTTAGTTAAGGATGGATTTCAATCTCATTTGACATAATGAAAATAACCTCCTGTGTCCTACAATGTTCAGCTTAGGGTGTTCATAATAAGGCTGAGCAGTGATCCAGATTCAGAGGGCAAAATGTGATTTGGTACGTGCATGAACACATGGTTAAAACTCTGGAGAGTCCCTGCCAGTCTACATAAAGAATATAAGCTAAATGAACCAAATATTTAATTCAGTTTCATGTAGCTTTTGTTTACTTTTCAAAAGCTATAGCTAGTTTTCATAATGTTGAGGTTTTTCTGGTTTTGGCTTAGTGGGATGTCAAAGCTATCTATATGGTTTAATATTATATGCAAACATAATAACAAAAAATGTAGTTTTTTGTTCTGTATTTATAACATTAAAAGTAAGCAGCTCAGAAGACACACAAGACTACAGAAGTGGGTTTCTCTTGAATGAAGAAACCATCCATACAATTGTAAATTGGATTGATGTGGCAGTTGAATGTATACTTTTCTTTAAATATTTGGTCTGTACTCGTATCAGATGCCATCAAAGAATTCCCAAGGCAGTCACTATGTAAGGGGTTGATGGAGTCTTTTATTCAGTTGCCATAATTCAAGCCCCACTGTGGAGAGGTTTTTTTTTCTTTTTGTGTACAATGATTTCATGTTTTATTTTTCCTTGTTTCAAAAGCCAAAGAACTATTTGAAGAGGTAGCTTTAAAAGTTTTGCTTCAAACCTGTTATCTTCCCTTTGTAGAACAGAGGCAGGCAATGTTTATGTGGTATAACACAAAATGTTTCACTGCTGGAAGCTATATTTTTCATTTTGGGTCCCAAGAGAAACAAAACATTTCTAAATAGGCAGCACCAGGATTTTTCTTTTCTTTCTTTCTTGAGTATGTGTGGCATATTATTTTTGCAGTTTGATTGACTTTATATTCTAAGTCTTAACCAACATTTCAGTTCCCTCCAGAAAAATTGTGGAAAACCTGCTTCAGTTCTCTGCTGATTTTCAGTCTGCAATTGTCTGTAGATCTGGGGGTTCCAAAAAATATGCTATTAAGGCTGTATGTGTGCTGTAAATCATGGACTGCCCACATCTGATCTAGTATGTATAAGAAACAAAATCAATTCTTCTTTCATCCACCCCCTTAGGAGACAAGGACGAAAGGAGAATTTGCTATCACCTACACAATACTTTATTCATCCATTACTAGAAGAGTATTTAAACCATATAGAGCTTTGTGAACCAATTGGAGTTGAAGGGAAATGAGCAGGACTGTTATTTTGCAGAATGTTTGGGCTGCTCACCCACATTTGTGGGACCACAGGAATCAGAATGTCCATACCTTGTAATCAGAACAAGCATATAAAGTTGTGGAGCTCAGCCCCAGGACTGAGGATTATGGTTACATGGGTGATCTTCCTCCTTAGTGACTGGCTTTGTCCAAGCTCATAAATCTCAAGTAGGCAGATGGGTGGGCGTGCAGGCTGGCTAGCTAACAGGGTAATTCTTTTGTATCAGTTCCTTGCCTTCTTCCTTATCCTGCACCAGAATGCAAGTATCAACACAATGCCAGTATCAGTCAGCAGCAGTTCCCAGGGAAGCAACAAAAACCTTTTGTTGCTAGCTCAGCTCCTGTTAAAATCTACCACCTGCATTTCTAGTATAATTCTAGGCCCAGTACTCTTGAAATCAGAATGAAAATTGGCAGCCTTAGCTACATTAGGCAATGCGTAGAAGCAAACATGATCTGGAAGCTTTGACAACGGTGTTAACAATCATCTGTGTCACATGATACCAATCAAGGCGTTCCTTCAGGCAATACGGTAGCCTCGAGGATTGAAAGTTTCAAGAAAATGCTGCTGAGATATTGACAGCTTTTGCCTGACACATAGAAATGAAAATAAAGGATGTGTGTATATGGATGGAAAGGTTTATTCAGTGGCTGTGGATCACTCGGATGTTGCAGCATGTGTCGAGTAGAAGTTGCCATTTTTCCATGACAGTGATACAATATGAAGCAGTTAGTTATTACAAAATGTGTGAAAACATATTTTACAATTATAGCATAAAGATTTGATGTTTAGTCATTCTGGGCATACATTCTTGCTGACAGAATACAATGATTTGTAGGCTTGGATAAAAGTAATGTTTTCTGGGATTCCTGACAAGAGAGTAACTAGGTTGTTTTAGGGATCCATTCCATATCATATTTTTTTCAATGGCGGCAATCTCTAAGATGCCCTCCTAATCTGTTTCATAGGTAGGTAGATCCATGCATGTCTGCAAGATATGATATTTGCCAAGGTTAGTATAGTGGTTTAAGTATTAGACTAAGAGGAAAGAGGAAACCCAGGTTCAATTCCCCATTCAGCCCTGAAGCTGGTCAGGAAATTGCCTTCAGTTTAAATTACATCATAGATTTTGTGAGGCTTAAACAAAGGTAGCAATCTAAAATTGAGGTAGACAAAGAAAAGCTCTCTGTAGGGATTTTTACATACTAAAGACACTTGGCTATGCTTATTTTAATCCTTCTCTGATAGCAGGAAATATACAAGATAACTATCCTTATGAAATAAGAGAGACTGGAGTTGGAGGATAGTGGTGTAAAGTGGTGAACCACAAAATTTCCAGATGAGAGAAGAATAAATAATTAAAAGGTCCATGAAATAATAATGTACTTTCTACAGAGAAAGGAGCAATCTCAACTATATTACTGTTACTGTTATCATTAAGGAAGTAGCCTGAGAGAGTTTTAGAAATACTCATATACTTTTCTTGTACAGTTAAAACAAAAAAAATCTCAGCCTCCCAAATGAATTTGGGAACCACTATTTCCTTTCTTTATGGTAAGTGCACCCAAGTACTTTAAGCTATGAATTCTAAAGTATATATTCTTCTTTAATTAACGAAGATAAAATACAAAACAGAAAAACAGGAAAAAAACAGATTGACAACACAATAAGCAAAAAAATGGATCTTTTGTACAAAAAAAAACCCAGAAAAAGAAAAAATGATATATTAGGTACACAAATCTCCCTGATGTGGAAATCTAGTTATCTAGCAATCAAATTGACCAATACAATCTATAAATTAAAAAAATAACCAGTCAACAGGTTACCCCAAACATAAAACTAATCTTCAAATCCCTCTGTTAACCAGCTGTTATTGTATTTAACATGTAGAAAATCCACAAACTCTTTCCAGTATCTTACAAAGTTGCCTAATCTATTGTCTCTAATCAAGGCAGTTAATTTTGCTATCTCAGCTAATTCGGTCAATTTGAAGATCCACTCTTCAAAAGTTGGCCTAGCCTTTTCTTTCCAATATTGAACATATACAATCCTCGCAGCGGTCAACATATAGAGAAATAGCGTCGCAAACTGTTTTTCAATTGGTTTGTCCATCATACCTAAAAGAAAAGCAGGAACCACTTAGAACATGTTTCCATGTTCTAAATTGCTATGCTTGTAAATTGCTGCTGTTGGTGAAATTCATTATTTGCTTTCCTGCTCCAAATACGAAAAGCGCTGTACAATAAAAGCAATCAAATATATAAATAAAACTAACAAGATTAACAAAAACAAGACTTAAAAAATAAAACTCAGATAAAGCTCTCTCAAATGCCTGAGCTTTAGTGAAAACTATTTTTAAACGATAGATTTAAAGAACCAGACAAATTCCTTTAATTGCTATATACCAAATTCTAGTCATGGGTAAAAGGAACCTAGAATGGAGGTAGTCTTCGACTTATGAACATCTGAAATTGCAGACTCTAAATGATTTTTGTTCCATTTTATGACTTTTCTTGCAAGTTATTAAGTGAATCACTGCAGTTAAGTTAGTAATGGGGTTGTTGAGGAAATATCCCCATTGATTTTGCTTGTCAGAAGGTCACAAAAGATGATCTCATGACCCTGGGATACTACAAAATTCATAAATATGAGTCAATTGCCAGAGTCTAAATTTTGATCACGTGACCATGGGGATCCTGCAACTGTCGTAAGTGTGAAAAACAGTCATAAGTCATTTTTTTTCAGTGCCATTGTAACTTTGAACAGTCACGAAACAAACGGCTGTAAGTAGAGGACTACCTGTATAGCCATTTCCAGTTGAGCTTGGTCCACACACCGTGGTGTGGATTTCATAGGGACGGTTCAATAGATGCCTATTAAACTTCCACAAACAGTACCCAGCAGGGGTGGGATTCTACTGGTTCGGACTGGTTCTATGGAACCAGTTGTTAGGATTCTGCGCAGTTCAGAGAACTGGCAAATCATGCCACTGGCTGGCCCCGCCTCTCCCTGCCCAGTCAGTCCTTATCATGCATGCCCAACTTCACGTGCATGCCCAACATCGCTGACTGTGTTCTCCGCCGCCCAGTCACTCCTTAAGGTATTTCTTTTTTCCCCCTCCCAATGATCAGCTGTGCTGGGATCCCCCTCGCTGTCTTACTGCTTTGCGCCCCCTCCAAGCTCCGTTTTTTGCCTTCCTGGGCCCCAGGAAAGCTTCCTGGGAGCAAAAATGCCCCCCAGGAGGCTTCCCTGAGGCCCACAAGACCCAAAAACTGGGGGGAGGAGCTGCAAAAAAAAGAAAGAACCCACGCCCACCCAGTTACATGGCCACACCCACCTAGCCATGCCCACAGAACCTGTTGTTAAAAAATTTGAATCCCACCCCTGGTACCCTGTACTGTAATACTTTGAGATATTGAGTATTGACGTGTTCAAAAAGAGGACAAATTCCATGTCAGCGAAACAAGTGAGCTTTTTATTTTCCCAGCAATCAAAATTATAGTTTGAAGGCTGGAAAATATAATGTCCTTGCAAAAGAAAAGGAAGATAATGGAATGCCTTTCTAAAATTAAGCAATGAACAACCCCCTGGAAGTTATCTGTGGATGCTGTTGTTGATGGTCACCCTCTTCTCCACCTCCCTTAGCTGGGACCGGAATCAAAAGCGACGTCACCATTCTAGTCAGCAAAGTGAATTGCAGCAGCAGGAGAGCCAGCAGCCTTTAACCGACCTGTCACCTGCCACGGTCAGCATCCTGGGGCCCTACAGCGATTCACAGGTTCCTATGCCAGAGATGGTGGAAAGTGGACAAGTCCTGGAAGGCTTGGAGAAGCTGGAGGGTCTAGGGAAGTCCAGTGCCTTCCAGCTCAACAGGTAAGTAACAGCGTGGACCATAATTGGATGGTGCTTTTGGCGGAAGAAGAGGAGGGAAAACAAGTGAAAATCAGAGCAAAAAAGCCAAACAAACTCAGAAGTATATAAGCAGCTGATTTTGTGTGCAGGCCAAACAAACCTTTATTTGAGCCACATGTCAAAACAGATTCTACATTTTGGTGCAGGTTTTGTTTCCCCTTGATGTTTATACTCTAGGCTTTCTCTGACATGATGTTTGGAAGAAACCAATGGAAAAGAGAGTGACTTCGTACATTTTGTTTGCCAATTTTATAACGCAATTGTAAAGATTACGATGGGGAATATGATAATTTCATTCATTCTTTTCAAAATACATTCTGATCTATTCTTGTTCTCCTCCCCCCATTCTTCCCCCACCCCAAGCGTTTGTTCCTTGGAAGATATGCAGTTCTCCTTTTCAGTACACATTCAACTATGCTATGGCTTTTTTCAAGTGGTATGAAAGTGATCAGTAGTAAAAATTCTTCCTCCATTCCATGATATTAAACGTTTTTTAAATTTTACACAAACATCTCTGTGGTAGCAGTATTTGTGCTCAGAAAGTGATAAAAAAAAGACTAGCAGTAATATCCCTTCAGCTGGATTTTTCAAACTCTTTTAGGTGGTGGAGGTTGTTAGTTAGAAAAAGAAATGCTAGAAACTTTGATCAAAAGTCTACTGGTGGATAATTGGCTGTGCTTGAGTGATTTTTTTCCTCCTCTAGTGTCTCACAGAACCCTAAGGTTGAAAAACTATGCCCCAGAGAGGACAAGTTTTAGACTGAGAGCTTCAGTTGTTTAATCTGTACGTACTATGCTTTGTCACTGTGTTCCGGTTCCATTTTAGTTATAAAATGTTAGCAAATACCCCTTCAAGAATTAATGGTACTGGGCGGAGGGAAGGTTGACTTTCTATTTTTGTATTTGTATAACTTTCAGTTCTGTAGGTATAAAACAAAAATAGGGATACAAAGACTTCAGAAACCTCAAGGAAAATAATTGAAAAGCAATTGATGATGTTGCTGCTGACTCTTGGCAGCCATATAGATTTTCTTCATGAGGATTCTATCCTAACTTAGCCTTTTAGATCTTCCAACAGTGCCCTCACTGCCACTGTCACTGAGCCTACCTATGTGCTGCATGGTGGACCTCTTCTTCTCTTTCCTCTCACTTTTCAAATGGTCCTGAAATAATGACTCACTGCGATAGGCTTGGGACAGGCCATGTCCCTGGATACTGATGAACTCTAGTTCCCAGTAGCCTCAGGCAACTTGGCAACGATAAAGGAAGCTGAAAGTTGCAGGTTCCATTGATGATATAGGAAAAGGAGTAGTCTTATGTTACTGCTTTTAAAAATGGTCTTCACTAGAAGAAGTAACCAAAAAAAAAATCCCTAAAAGCAACTATGACCTTTACAAATAATAGAAGAGAAATCTCACTACTTTTCATTATTCCTACCGGTATCGCAAGCAGAGCCCAATATGCCAGGCAAGGCCACAGAGTTCGCAAGAGTTACATTACTTGACTGCATTTCCGATGCAACCCACCCACTTCCACTCCTGTATAATAGTATATAAACAGAATGCATTGGTTTCTGTATCATGGGTTGGGTAAGCTAAATCATAGATTACTGGCACCATGCAAATAGGTGGTAACAAAATTACTTAGACCTCTAATATATATTGGGCTAAAAGTGACTGAAGATGAATACTATTAATACTGTAATACATTTGACAACTTCTGAGGGGATCTTGGTTCTATATAATAAATATATAACAGCAACTGAATATCTATAAAAAATTACAGTTAATCAGCGAGAATCAAATATTAATACAGGTAGACCTTGAGTTACAACCATTTGATTAGTGACCATTTGAAGTTACAAAGGCATTGAAAAAAAGTGAGTTATGACTGTTTTTCACACAACCATGCAGCATCTCCATGGCCATGTGACCAAAGTTCAGACACTTGACAAATGGCATGTACCATTGCAGCATCCCAGGGCGCGATCTTCTGACAAGCAAAGGCAAAATGGGGAAGCCAAATTCTCTTCTCTTTTTCTGGCAAGAAAGGTTGTAAAATGGGGAAAATTCACTTAACTTGATTTGCAAAGGAAATGTTGGGATCAATTGTGGTCCTAAGTCAAGGAGTACCTGTAGAATCATGAGTTAAAGGCAGACATCCATATTATGAGAGAACATTTTTCATAAAAGGATTTCTTCTGACCACCCATTTCCATGTTAACTGTTTTGATTTGATTTTTTCCACCCTTGGTATCCCAGAAGTCATTCCTCCAATCAGGATATTCCATTCCTCGCTATTGTCATCAGTGGGAAGACCTCTCCATCCTGATGCCCTGTATGGTGTGCTGGGTTCTTTGGGAATAGATAGGAATAACATGAGTAGACAGGACCATGCCCATTCTCCATGGGGGGCAGGAGGAGTTTCTCTCCTTGACCCACGGATAGTTTTATATCCTTCCTCTTTCTGAAGATCCCTATCTATAGGGGCTTCCTCCAACAAATGGGAGACAATAGGATGCAGCAATGAGAAAGCATGAACAGAATGTTGGCTAATGTACATTTATTTAAATGTAATAGTTGATGAAATACTCTCAACTTTCCCAAAATTTATCATTTTGGCATAGTGTAATGACTTACATGCTACCCATTTTTATAGAGAACTAAGAAGGTTTTAGAAATAATCTCACCCAAGCTATGTTAGCGTTGCAAAAGAGCGGATAAAGCCACTCTATTCTTACCATCTAAGAATTGGGAATACTTTTTTATTTATGTCTCTAATTTTCTCCCATTCCATTTCCTCTTCTGTCTCCTGATCTTCCAGGATCCCACTGGTGAACTTGTGACTGAATGTGCTAGAAGGAATAAGGCTTGATGTCCTTGTAATGAGCTCAAATGCTGAATCTCCGAGGGAGTCCCACAGAAGCGGCAGCCCTTTATTTAGTCCCATCCTCCTGCAATGCCACTTCTGCTGCAACAGAAGAGTTATTGTGGATCCCTTTGTGTCACGTCCTTCCATCATCACTGCGGACCTGACAGAAACAAGAATGAGCTCAGTTGCAACCTGCCAGGCTGGGCTTTCAAAAGCGCCATGGTGCACGGGGATTAGGGCAGTGTCATGCCAGCAAAGCCTGGGGGAGGAACAAGTAGATGAAAGCTACTAGTATCATAATAATTTTTACATCTCTCTCCTGTATCTTGACACAAACAGTTGCATACAGATATTTATTAGTAAGCATGCTTGATACCAAGAGGCAGGATGCTGTGTGTCTTCCCTTCCTTCCCAAGTTTTGTTCTCTTCCCCTTCGTGTGATCTGATGGGCCTTCCAAAAGGGCAGTTCTTAGTATCAGTGGGGGGTGGGGGTGGGGATGATGCAGATCTTACTGGGTTATGGGAATCAACATACTATATAGGAAGCGAAAGTACAACAAAGGGGAACTAGATACAAAGAGTCAGTAACAAACACACTCAATTTCCTATAGTGGTTTTCAGATTAACCTTTGATCTAGAATTGCCATCCCTTGTTCATTTGTTTTAAATTGTGTTCAAGCATCATACTGAACCTAGGACTGGTTAATCCAAATCTGCCACTTACAGGGCACTGAAAACCACTGCTTGTTTATACTTTACCGATACAGAACAAAAACCTCTGCCCAGAGATAATCGGAGAACACCGATTAAACAAACAAGCCAATGGCTATTTCAATGACACAATTGCAAGACTATGCTGTCTGGTGATGACAGGCTAACCATAACTGAAGCTTTGATAGGGTCTTGTGCCTCCCATCAAATATTTCCTGGCTGCAGGTGCGGTATGCTTGATTGCTTCATAATGAGAATGAATGGGAGATAAGTGAAAAGCTATTAATGGCCCTCTGAATAGCTTCTCTTCAACCCAATGAAGCCTTTGTTTTGACAGCAGAACAAAAATGCATTGGAGGGGTTTGTTAGTTGCTTTTTTTTTGTCTTAAAAATATGGTGAAATTACGTCCCTTCCCTCAGTGTCAGAAAACTAGCTATTGAGGAATTAAAAGAGGAAATTGTTTGTTTATATTGCTAGGAACTTCCACTAAACAGAACCTTTTTGTGCATAAACATAAGATTTTCTTGATAGCAGCAAGTGTTGTTCCTTTTGTATATGTAAAATCTCTGATTAATTAAATTTACTGCTAACTGCAGAAAGGTAATTCCTTTGCACTACTGATGCACTGTAGTATGTAAGCAACCCATACCATCTGTCTGTTCTTGAATTTTTAAGCACATTACTTGCTATAGCTATGGTGCCAAGAAGGTACATTTCCTTCATGTCCCCCTTCATTTGCCCTTCTGTAGCATTTCATTCTAGTTCTGAGTTCCCCGCTACAATTATTGGATGAGACTTGCCTGTCCTGATACCCCCAATGAAACTATGGTTTGCAACAAATGTGGCCTCCAAAAGCATTGTAAAGTCAGTGCCAAATGCATTTCTCTAGGAAGAGATTCCAAAATGGAGCTATCACTGCTGATCATGCTAGGTGGTATATATATATATATAATGTGTATTGTGCCCTTCCAAGTAGGGAAGTAGTAGAGATAGAATTTCAGGTAGAGATTTGAAGATGGGCAAGCCAAAGATTATAAACCACATGTAGCCACTGCATTGCTAAACATTTCAACCTTAGGCTCATCATTAAGCCTTCTGGGGTCTGTTTTTGTTTTAAAGCACAGACCAGCTACCTGAGCAGTCTGACTCTTCTTAGGATAAAAAGCTACTTCCTTGCAATGCCAACGTCATTATCCCTGGGTGTTTCATATTTTCTGCAGTGGATTCTCTAGCTCAGAACAAGTATTAAAGGTATATGTTTATAGTTTTTGTACAGTATCTACAGAACTGTGTTGTATAAGCGGGACAAAACCAAAATCTGTTTTTTTTTAAATACGGGCATCTGTTCCAAAGCCCCAAGGAAGCACTTATATGTTCTTTTTATTACTTCAGTTTCTGACAAGCACAATTCTTTATCAAAGGTTCCTCCGGTAATTATATCTGAGCTTCCAACATAAAGCCGTTTTTCTGTGATAAATCCACAAGGGGCAGATTCCTTTATACCCATCTTCCCAGATACTAGATTGCATAGTTATGAGATACTCTGTATAAACATTTGTTAATGTTTATATCTTGCTCTTTCCCAAGGAAACTTATTGAATGAGTAGGTGCCACCCTGTCAATGTTAGCCTCACAACTCTTCTGTGAGGTGAGAAAGAGAAGAGTGGCCCACACTTATCTGAGTGGAATCTGAGATTTGAAGCCAGCCTGAATGGAGATCTAGCCAGGTATTTGGGATTTAACCAATCGTCTTCAGTTCTGGAGAAAAATGCATAAGTAACATGTCATATCTCAAGTCATTTCTATCCTATGAACACTCACTCAGAACTAAACTGCATTGTTGCATTTAGAATTCCATTCTCAGAATCACCAAATAATCAAAGGAGTATAGGGACCCTGTAGTAATGAAAATGAGGGATGGGACGGTGGGCCATTGTCATTTTATTTTAATTAAGGAAGAAATGAAGGAAACTTGCCATTGTTATTTGTGTTTGATCCCTCTCCTTTCTTTGTAGTATACTTAATAACAAAATGTTTGCATTCTTTCATCTGCTTAAGGATATATGATGCACAGAAAATTATTTTCAAGTGCCATTTATTTCAGTATGGAGTTACATCTATTTTTAAATTAAGAATTAATTGCCAGCATACATTTCTTATTCAAGTGAAATAACTTTATAGTTTATTTTTATGCAGTAATATGAAGTTTAGTGATCCCTTCTGCTTCTTTGGGGCAAAGGGATTGTCACCTAGTTATTTAAGGAACTATAAAACTCTATATTTTATTAATTGTATCAATAGTACAGAGTTAGAACTTGACTACCAAGATTCTTAGTGGAAACTACAGACCACCCAGGCATGCTTATTAACCAAAAAATAACCCTAACCCCCACCATAACAGTACTCTGTTTGCATAAATTTGATACGCCAAAATAAATCAACTGAGCTCTTTTCAGCTTGTTTATAACTGTCATATTTTAATGTGTGTACACAAAGCTGCTTTTATTTTGACAACGCATAAGATGTAATCCCTCCACCACCATCAAAATTTTAGAGACATTGGAATGGGTGGTGTTGCAGCATGTGAAGTAAAGCAAGAAAAAGGCAGGCAGAAATATTGTTAAGATTGTCCATCACTGGAAGTAAAGAAAAAATGGTGCTGATATAAACCTTGGGAGAGAAGATGAAAAACTGGTTGGGTGCTTAACTACTTAGATGTTTACCTTTTCTATGTCTGTTATTCTCCTTCCTTGATATGTGCTTGCAGAAGATGAGGGTTCTTCCTCAACAAAATTGTGTTCTTTAACCTTTAAAAATATTAATCCTCATGCTGTTAAAACAGAGTGATGTCAGCAAGCCTGACTAAAGATGTTTTAGCAAATGAAATGGAAAATGCAAAAATCTTTAGCCCGGGATTCAGTCCCTGGGGAATCTTCTACATGCCTCATTGTAATTAAGGGCATTTCTGTGCTTACTATCTGAGCTGTTCCTGTCCTGTTAGTAATGCCTGCTTGACTCGAAGCCAGCTTTAAAAAGCCTGGCCAATATATATATATAACTATATACTGTATCTGTTTCTAAGGGCTTTTTGACTCATTTTTACCAGTACTACAGTTGGTATAGCTGTTTGAACATAACTGGTTCAAAATCCAACGTGTTTTACAATGATATATTTTTCTTTCCAAAATTCCTTTTTCGCTCTTTGTTGTACTTTCTTGGGTAATAATTGGAATTCCATTGATTCTCCAGTCACCTGAGATAGAATAATTTTATCCCCAGCTTCCAAGCAGCTCGTAGCTTAAAATAGCTCAAGTGTTACTTTTAAGAGGCTAAACACAATCCATGTTAGCATTCAATGGGTTATTCATATGGGGAAAAGAGAGTGAGCAGCTGCAAAGATTCCAGCTAAGTTGTTCTAAAATAATTTCTCCAAGCAGGAAGAGGAGGAGGTAACACTGGAAACGGTTGGGTTGGCAAAGCAGAGATGCCACCAAAGGAAACAGGCAGGCTAAGGCAAAACTGAAAATTGAAGTGGGTGAGTTTGAGGACAAACCATGTTGTGGGCAGCAGCCAGCATTCATTTATTCCTGTTTGGATCCATTTGTCATTTTGGCACATGGCAAAGTATGCACACACCCTGGATCTTCTGTTCCAAGGTTTTCCAGGGGAAATGGGTGGTGGAAGCCCTTGGTTGGGTGGTGTCATCTCCTCTTCATTATGGTTCCTCTTGGCCTTGCCTTGACCCAGAGGAATAGAAGGAGGATTTTCCTTCTATAGTTTGTCCTTGGAATGGACAGGTAAAGAGATTTTCCTGCCTAATAGGAGAGAAAAGAAACCAGCAATGATTACTATGATGGGTCATGACTGAGGTCTAATAGATCTGGTCATGAGAGAATGACTTTCCCATATGCATTCATATTGTAGGCAGTTCTGCCTTCATGACGGTATGTACAGCTCCATAAAAAGCGTCTTTAACTTTGCCGCATTGGAACCCTTAGAGCCTTCTATGTCATTATTTATTTTTGTTGGCCTCTGCATCAGTGATAATAGATTAAATGCTGTTAATTGTAAGTGCATAACTGCACAGAGCCTCCCAATGGGGCTGGTTATACTGCACAATGAATGTACTTTCTATCCCTGCCTCATGTAATCGGATTTCTTTGTCGGGTGCTAATTCTCTCGTTGGCCATATTGCAGATATGAGAGCTGTAGTAATGATAGCATCAGGCAAATACCAACTGGGACCCAAACAACCCATGAAACAAAAACCAC